CTGTCGTCTATTCCTGTCGTCTATCCCTGTCGTCTATTCATATCGTCTATCCCTATCGTCTATCCCTATCGTCTATCCCTATCGTCTATCCCTATCGTCTATCCCTATCGTCTATCCCTATCGTCTATTCCTATCGTCTATCCCTATCGTCTATTCCTATCGTCTATCCCTATCGTCTATCCCTATCGTCTATCCCTATCGTCTATTCCTATCGTCTATCCCTATCGTCTATCCCTATCGTCTATCCCTATCGTCTATCCCTATCGTCTATCCCTATCGTCTATCCCTATCGTCTATCCCTATCGTCTATCCCTATCGTCTATCCCTATCGTCTATTCATATCGTCTATCCCTATCGTCTATTCATATCGTCTATCCCTATCGTCTATTCCTATCGTCTCCCTATTGTCTCCCTATCGTCTATCCCTCTCGTCTATCCCTATCGTCTCCCAATCGTCTATTCCTTGACCTCTGTGTGAAACGTCACAGGGTTAAGGAATAGTCGATAGGAGAATTCAAAAGGATTTAGGAGAAGAGACTGCGGTGCTTTGAGAATCCGACTGCACTTTCACTATCCGACGTGTTTATGATGCGCCAGCGGACGTCATGAATGTGAACTGACGTTCATATTTCTCTTTTTGATTATAATACTGATGAACGTTCAAAACAAAGCACTTTGGCAACTTACCACATACGTTTTAAAATGCTTAATAAGCACCGTAACTTTCATGATATCATTTCTCGGTCATAATCGGTTGTTTCCGTGAACGGCCGACTGTTGTGTGACGGCAATTGCTACGGCTGCAAGGCATTGTGGGGCAGCATTTTCTCCTCTCCTTTCGGTTAGGAAGGTCCAGTGGTTCCTAAGCTAAAGGAGGTTATAAAGGAAGTTTGAAACCTCCTTTCCTTTCATCTAGAGAATTCCAACGGCACTTATCATGGCTGCCACTGAAGGACTTCCGGGTCATTTCACTCCGTTAGGAAGGTTCCTAAGAGAAACGGACTATTGGACCGCAGCCTTAGTCTTGTTCCTTATCAAACTACCTGTCAGATTGCAATAGTTGCATCCTTTTCTAAGATGTTTTAAACCAAACCTTTCACATCTTTACATGTTTTATATATCTAAACATGTGTTGCTAGTGTAGTTTCTGGCCTCAGAGCAAAGGTTTCTTTGTATTTTATTCTAAATTCTTTGTGTTTTTCTTTTAAAGTTTCCCATTGCAGACACTAATTAGCCAACGCATACACTTTATGATATGTCCGATTTTGGTTTAATTCGTTATGCATGTGAATAACTTCAAATATCAGTGTGTATTTATTCTAGATAGTTTCATTGCAGCTACAAACATTAACAAAAGACATGGCATTGTACAATACAAATTAAAAAACATATTCTATGAAGTGCGTTAGCTGTCTTTAACTTTAAATGTAAAAGTCAGTGGCCCTAGTTCTGTGGTGTATGTTTTTGGAGCTATTTAAAACGAATCCATACAAGAGGAATCAAACCTAAAGGCATGTGGACAAGCTTATTAACTTCTATAATATTCCATGCACACACATCTGTCTTCTATAAATACATTGAGGTGTTGGCTGGAGCTGCAGCTCAGCTGAGGTCGGAGGAAGGGAGCTGAACGTGGAAAGGCAATGAGCTTAAAACCAGAAAAATGTTCCTAATGAAAGAGCAGAAACCAGGAGGCAGATCCAGGTCAGAAGTTCACTTTCTGAGAGTCCATTGTGGAGCCAAAGTTCTGCAGGAAAAACACGGAGAATAAAAACCGTTTCAAATCCAGTGTTATCAGAGGTGGGAAGTAGTGGAGTACAAATACTTTGTTACTGTACTTAAGTACATGTTTCTGGTATCAGTACTTTACTCCACTACTTATTTTTCTGACGACTTTTTACTTTGACTTCTTACATTTTGAACACAAATACCTGTACTTTCTACTTCTTACATGTTGAACCCAAATACCTGTACTTTCTACTTCTTACATTTTGAACACAAATACCTGTACTTTCTACTTCTTACATGTTGAACACAAATACCTGTACTTTCTACTTCTTACATTTTGAACACAAATACCTGTACTTTCTACTTCTTACATGTTGAACACAAATACCTGTACTTTCTACTTCTTACATGTTGAACACAAATACCTGTACTTTCTACTTCTTACATTTTGAACACAAATACCTGTACTTTCTACTTCTTACATGTTGAACACAAATACCTGTACTTTCTACTTCTTACATGTTGAACACAAATACCTGTACTTTCTACTTCTTACATGTTGAACACAAATACCTGTACTTTCTACTTCTTACATGTAGAACACAAATACCTGTACTTTCTACTTCTTACATGTTGAACTCAAATACCTGTACTTTCTACTTCTTACATTTTGAACACAAATACCTGTACTTTCTACTTCTTACATGTTGAACACAAATACCTGTATACTTTCTACTTCTTACATGTTGAACTCAAATACCTGTACTTTCTACTTCTTACATGTTGAACTCAAATACCTGTATACTTTCTACTTCTCACATTTTGAACCCAAATACCTGTACTTTCTACTTCTTACATGTTGAACCCAAATACCTGTACTTTCTACTTCTCTCATTTCCCAAACAGGCTGGTTCCTTTAGTTTGAATGTGTGTTTGGTGGCGTGATCATTATTATTTAGAGTCATTGCGTGCCTATTGATTTGAACACGATCCGTGTATCCATCATTTCCTGGTCTTCTCTAAAGAAGAGGGACCAATGAAAACGTTGTCATGTTGCCGTTGTTCAGCATGGAAACATTCATTAGCTAACAATGACATTATTGTTCTATTAATATAAAGGGAGGTCAGGTACTCTTTAAAACAGCTGCTAGTTATGGGTACTTTTTACTGAAGTACATTTCAAAGCCCTCTTTACTTTGACTTGAGTAAAGAAGTTTAGTCAGTACTTCTACTTTCACCAGAGTATTTTTAAACACGAGTATCTGTACTTCTACTTGAGTAAAGGAAGTGTGTACTCTCTGCGGTTAACCACATGTCCCTGAACGCACCGTTCCCTCGCTGATGTAAGAAGGGAGTCCTCTCTCCAATGTCAGTCAACCGCTGCCCTGGGAAACATGCAGCAGAGGCCTAAAGAAACACAGGGTTTCCCCAAAAATGTCCGACAACGGAAAAGGAAACATGTGAAGTATTATTATAGTTTATGTTTCCCTGCAGATAAAAAAGAGCTGAACCATTCTGCTCCCTCAGGGTCGAGCTTTTATAGCTCAGACGGAAACAAGGCTGCACCACGTTGAAAAAAAAGCACTTTTCATCAGACAAGTACTAGTTTGTGGTCGTCTTCATCCTTTCTGTAGCGGAGATTGTGTTTTTTAATAAAGAGTTGAAGCATTTAACAGAACCTTATTCCCAGCTGGAAAGGCAGAGGTTTGCAGCAGCTTTTGATCAAAGCTCTGACTGTCTCACAGAAAGTCATGTGTACAGAGGAGCAGGAAACGAAAGGGACATAAGACATGATCATTATAACCGGTAACATCTGTAAGATAATTAGCCGGCCTGTGTGTTCAAACTGCGAGAAAACCAACCCAAGATATACAAAATAACAGTGACCTTGTATATAATTAAAGGAGACTTGTGATGCATTTCCATGAGAGATATTTTCATAAAAACAGATGTTCTCTTGCAACCAAATGTTTGCATTCAATCTTTTCTCTGAGAAGAGGATGTTGATTTGAATTGAAAGTATTTTCCTTTGCATAAACCAGGAAAAACATTGTTGTATGACTTGGGTTGAGTTTAGCCTAACCCTCATTTATTATAGTTCAGAAAAAGGGACCCTAACCATTGGCTCCTCAGGGTACATTTTTATAGTTTCAGATTGAACCATGTCGAAAGAAAACACAACTGATATTGCGATGATATTTCTGCAATATAACAATAAACCTTTCGTCAGACAGGATCCTGTTTCGGGTCAAGATCACCCTTTATGCATTTCCATTAATACATAACATTCTTTTGTGTGTTTTCCTCCTGTTCCTGGTTCATTTTCTCTCTGTTTTTCTCAAGAATCTGAGTTGCTGGTGTCCTTTCAGATAGGCTTCTCTTTCAGTAGTTATGGAAAATGTTTTTCTTTGCATCAACCAGGATAAAGACTGTTGCATGACGCGTGGATCTGCATCACTTGGATTATAAAGATTACAAAGAACTCAATGGTGCTCTAGGAGGAGATCCAGGGGATAAGGTGGGGGGGGGGTACCTTGGTTGCTGATTGGCTAATGGTTACACAAGACAAAACATCGTTATGACATCATAAAGTGGCCAAAATCTGATCAGCTCATTTTCAGACAGATTTTTATAAAAATGGATCAAAAAGAGAGAGAATCTTTGTTCCTGAAACTTTCAGAGTCTCTTTCCACAGAGGGGACACATGTTGATGTAGAAGAGACATGAAGAAGAGGGGACACATGTTGATGTAGAAGAGACATGAAGAAGAGGGGACACATGTTGATGTAGAAGAGACATGAAGAAGAGGGGACACATGGTGATGTAGAAGAGACATGAAGAAGAGGGGACACATGTTGATGTAGAAGAGACATGAAGAAGAGGGGACACATGTTGATGTAGAAGAGACATGAAGAAGAGGGGACACATGTTGATGTAGAAGAGACATGAAGAAGAGGGGACACATGTTGATGTAGAAGAGACATGAAGAAGAGGGGACACATGTTGATGTAGAAGAGACATGAAGAAGAGGGGACACATGGTGATGTAGAAGAGACATGAAGAAGAGGGGACACATGGTGATGTAGAAGAGACATGAAGAAGAGGGGACACATGTTGATGTAGAAGAGACATGAAGAAGAGGGGACACATGTTGATGTAGAAGAGACATGAGGAAGAGGGGACACATGTTGATGTAGAAGAGACATGAAGAAGAGGGGACACATGATAGGTGACCTTGAACATCCATTAGTAACGCTCCTCTCTGTGTTCAGGTACGGGCTGCAGCCAGGACCTGCTCTTCTTCCTCTGTGCGATGTACGCTCCCATCTGCACCATCGACTTCCAGCACGAGCCCATCAAACCCTGCAAGGCCGTGTGTGAGCGGGCGAAGACCGGCTGTGAGCCCGTGATGAAGAGATACAACCACAGCTGGCCCGACAGCCTGAGCTGCAGCGAGCTGCCGCTGTACGACCGGGGGGTCTGCATCTCCCCGGAGGCCATCGTGAAGGCAGAGGGACCAGGTACTGATACCAGATAAGATAATAATATATATATATCTGTCTGTTTCAAGAGGCCATCGTGAAGGCAGAGGGGCCAGGCACTGATATCAGATAAGATAAGATAATAATATATATATATCTGTCTGTTTCAAGAGGCCATCGTGAGGGCAGAGGGGCCAGATAGATATAACTTTATCAAGGGTGTTATATTTAAGACTGAGATTTGTCTCCTAAGTAGAGCTGCAACGATTAGATGACTAATTGATCACCAATAGACTTAAAATAACACTTTTTGAATTGGATTACAGTCACAAAAATATGGTATGAGTTCAATGTGAGTCTGTTCTGTCTGACGTGATGAATCCTGTTTGTTTTTTCCCTAAATCAGCCTTTAGTCTCACTCCTGATAGTGGAGAATAACTGGCAACTTTTATGACAATTGATCTATAATCAACCAATTCATATATATATAAATCTTAATGCAAAAATGCCCGGAAATGTTTTTCAGCCTCTCAAATATGTATATTTCCTGTTCTTTTCATATTTGATATCATATTGAAGTGGATAAAGTAGATATATTTGAGTTTTGGAAGGACACAGTAAGACATTTCAAGACCTTTGACTTTGAGAACATAACGGAAATGTTTCACTTAGAGAGGCGGAAAGACACAACAAGCAGTATCGGGAGGTTTTTGAAGATCTACTGAATATTGAAAATGAAGGAAAAGTAATGAGCCACTACTTCAGTTTAGGTGTTGGCTTTCCCTGCTTTTTGGGGGGTGCAGGTTTATTCGAACAGCACCTTGCACTAAATATTACGAGGCCGTGCATCTCTGCCACTGTTGGCCAGTCTGAGCACTGGAGATCCATCTCTTATTAAAGTACAATTGTACGGGGCAACCTCTAACCCTAACTTCTGTAATGTTATAAACTCTATCACTTACTCCTGTGAACGCCTCAGAATTGAAACTTCTTCTGTCTCACTATATTCCCCTCTCTAAGTGAAAGACCTGGCCCATCAGGAAACCGTTCTGCCTGCTTTATGAACCCTATCGTAGTTCTCTGACATGTTTCTACTCTCAGCAGAGTTTCGTGAGTCATTTCCCCTCGACTTCACTCCCACTGACTCTCTCAAAGAGCTCCTTGATGCAGGCGGCCCACTCCTTTTACACTCAATAAAACCCTCACTGTCCTCGCTTCTTTAAACAGGCCCGAGACCAGCAAGACCTGAAAAAAAAACCCTCATCTCAATCCCCTTGACCTCCATAACGATTCGCCCACATATCAGCGAGGTTTGGGGATTTTCCCTCGCCGTGATTTGTTGATTTGTTGATTTGTTGATTTGTTGATTTGTTGAGGTTCAGAGTGGGAGTTTCAGTCGGAAAGTTATACGTTTCTCTCTGTGGATAACCAGAGGTGGGAAGTAGTGGAGTACAAATACTTCGTTACTGTACTTAAGTACATGTTTCTGGTATCAGTACTTTACTCCACTACTTATTTTTCTGACGACTTTTTACTTTGACTTCTTACATTTTGAACACAAATACCTGTACTTTCTACTTCTTACATGTTGAACACAAATACCTGTACTTTCTACTTCTTACATGTTGAACACAAATACCTGTACTTTCTACTTCTTACATGTTGAACTCAAATACCTGTACTTTCTACTTCTCACATTTCCCAAACAGGCTGGTTCCTTTAGTTTGAATGTGTGTTTGGTGGCGTGATCATTATTCTTTAGAGTCATTGCGTGCCTATTGATTTGAACACGATCCGTGTATCCATCATTTCCTGGTCTTCTCTAAAGAAGAGGGACCAATGAAAACGTTGTCATGTTGCCGTTGTTCAGCATGGAAACATTCATTAGCTAACAATGACATTATTGTTCTATTAATATAAAGGGAGGTCAGGTACTCTTTAAAACAGCTGCTAGTTATGGGTACTTTTTACTGAAGTACATTTCAAAGCCCTCTTTACTTTGACTTGAGTAAAGAAGTTTAGTCAGTACTTCTACTTTTACCAGAGTATTTTTAAACACCAGTATCTGTACTTCTACTTGAGTAAAGGATGTGTATACTTCTACTTGAGTAAAGGATGTGTGTACTTCTACTTGAGTAAAGGATGTGTGTACTTCTGCCATCTCTGAGCTTAACAACAGAAACCCAAAGTCTCTGTGTCTAAACTGTTCGCTAACTTGATGTTGAATTTGAAGTCACTGTGACACAGAGAGAACTGCCAAGAGCTCGGTTCTGCTCAGATTAGATTAGATGTTCTCTATTCATTCCCAAAACTGCTCACGAAATCAAACCCGACTAAAAGTAGTCACTGCAGATGAGAATTAAAGCAGCAACAAGACTATATATAGACTATCTGGCAATCAAAACAACCGATTGGCATGATTTTCAGTTATTTCGACCACATTGAAATAGACACGTTTACACACACTTTCCTTGCCGTTGGCTGTGTGCCGCTGCCTTGGTCTTCGAGTGAAGAAAATCCCTAAATTGGGATCAATAAAGTACTTCTTATGTTATTATCTTATCTTAAATGCTAGCTACACTGTCTCTCCATATGTTTATGCTTTGTGGGATTTACATATTTTGCCATGTCATCACCGTTCATATCTATCGCCCAGAACCACCGAAGGAAAACACTGTTTATCTGGTTTTGTCATTAAGAATTGGTTCAAAGTTTATCAATCAAAATGCAAAATAAGGTTTTTGGAAAGTTGCATATTAGAATAAAATGAACCCTCTGAAGACTCAGGGTCATGGTGAAGACATGATGAAGACATGATGAAGACATGATGATGACATGATGATGACATGATGAAGACATGATGAAGACATGATGAAGACATGATGAAGACATGATGAAGACATGATGATGACATGATGATGACATGATGATGACATGATGAAGACATGATGAAGACATGATGAAGACATGATGATGACATGATGATGACATGATGATGACATGATGAAGACGTGATGAAGACGTGATGAAGACGTGATGATGACGTGATGATGACGTGATGATGACGTGATGAAGACGTGATGAAGACGTGATGAAGACGTGATGATGACGTGATGAAGACGTGATGATGACGTGATGATGACGTGATGATGACGTGATGATGACGTGATGAAGACGTGATGATGACGTGATGATGACGTGATGAAGACGTGATGAAGACGTGATGATGACGTGATGATGACGTGATGAAGACGTGATGATGACGTGATGAAGACGTGATGAAGACGTGATGAAGACGTGATGATGACGTGATGATGAAGACGTGATGAAGACATGATGATGACATGATGATGACATGATGAAGACATGATGATGACATGATGAAGACATGATGAAGACATGATGAAGACATGATGATGACATGAAGAAGACATGATGAAGACATGATGAAGACATGATGATGACATGATGATGAAGACATGATGAAGACATGATGAAGACATGATGATGACATGAAGAAGACATGATGAAGACATGATGAAGACATGATGAAGACATGATGATGACATGATGAAGACATGATGAAGACATGATGAAGACATGATGAAGACATGATGAATACTTAAGCCATCAAAAGAAATGTTGTTGATGGAAACGTTGACAGAATATAGTTGTAGGGCTCTAACAACAGCTAAAGACCAACATGTGTGTGGGTAAAACAGCAAGTGGGTAACAGAGCAATCAATATATGTTATTATTCTGTACGTGATTTCTGACACCATTTCTCTCTGTCTCTCTGCAGACCCTTACTACCAGGACCCAGCCAGGTGTAACCCAGGTGACGCTGACATTTCACCTCTTTTTTACCCAGGGTTTGCTTATCGTGTTCTCTCGTTGAATAGATACTAGGTGGATCAGGTTAAACACAAGTGCTTTGGGTGGAAAAAACTAGTCATGTATTTATTCCTAACATACCTCATCTGAACACAGTCTAGAAACGTATTTAACCTATTTTCTAAAGAGCTGATGTTTTCTGGTTTGATCTTTCGACAGAATCCAATCCAGACTTTCCAATGGACTCCAAAAAACTCCACTGCCGAGGACCAGATGGAGGTAACGGTCTGTTTAAAAGCTTAAAGGCTCCTCTCCTTGGAAGGATGTAGTCTTTAGAGGACTGAGAGTTAAAGGAATAGTTTGTTGTAATGTTGGGAAATCCACATTTGTGTTCTTGCTGAGAGTTAAATGAGATATCGCTCCCATATCTGTATGTTAGATATGAAGCTACAGCATGCAACTGATTAGCTTAGCTTAGCTAACAGTGGGAAACTGCTAGCCTAGTATTGTGGTCATTCAAGGTATTTTGATAAGCAAACGGGACAATTAGCATCGCTCTGGATCCCTTCGGAAAAAAACGAATCGGAAAAAACAGCCGTTTTGAAGTCACGTACAAGTCTTAAAATTCACCAGTAAGGTTTTTTTTATGTAGTTAAACTAAACGTTAAAATCTCTTAATCTTAAAATGGAGAGGATAACATCATCTGTCAATCACAAACTGGAACTTTTTACAAACGTATGATTTTACTGTGAAGTCCTGATCACTCCCTAAATGTTCGTATTGTTCGTAAAAATTACTGTTTTTATTTTGATCTGTGTGTAAAAAAAAAGGGCATTTCGGACAGACAAACTTAAGATGTACAATTACTATGTCTTGAAAAAACACTGTGTAATTGTTTGCTGCCAAATGTCAATAAATAATATATTACAACAGCAAAAAATCTCTTAATCTTGTGTTACCCACAGACCTTATTTCCGAGATCATAAACTAAAGGACATTGACTTCGAGACGAGGGAACAGGAAGTGCGTAAAAGCTGATTCATGTCATGGTTTAAAGACTCATTCCTGTGGCACTTATTAAACACATTATTAATGGGTATAGTGCTATATTTAGCCAACAATCATACAACCAACAATGACAGTGACTTTTCTCATCTCTAGCATTCGTCCCATTTGACTTAAAACAAGCTGATGAAACTCTGGACTTAAAGAAGTGTGAACAGAGTTGATATGTCTGTCTGTTTCCCATCATCATCCATTTGTTTGTGTCTCTGTAGATCGCTGCACCTGTAAGACAGTCAAAATGGGTTTGAAAAGCTACACGAAGAACAACTACAACTACGGTGAGTCATCTGGGACTAAATCAAGATTTTACAAATATGAACAGAACAGTGATTGTATGTTACTCTGTGAAACTGTTCTGCATGATAACCTGCACATATAGTATTGTTATAGGAGATGATGTGGTTGATTTGAGCATTGAATCTTCCCATGTAACGATAAAGTGTTTCCATTGCTGCTTATCCCACTGAGAATCAACAGTAAACTTGCAGCAATGACAAGATTTCTGCTAGTTTTCAGGTTTCATTTGATAAAAAATGCATTCATATCTTACAATAAGACACACGTGTATAAGACAAGATCACTATAAACCCCACATATACATAATTATGAGAAAAAAGGGATGAAATGTGTTATGCAACTTGCTCAAAAGGGGTTGTTGGAACATTTCCAAATCAAACGTATACGGTTTTAAAGTGAGAAAGTTGTCTGTGCATCGTCAATCATTACTTCTCCATGCTACATGATTAACATCTTACAATAAGGCAAACATGTATAAGACAATATCACTACTGTATAAACCCAACATATACATTAAAAAAAAGGCTGCAATTTGTTATGCAACTTTCTTAAAGTGGACCTATCATGCTATATTTGAATAATATAGTGTAGGACCATACCTATATAAGGCATATTTATCAGATCATGCATTTTAGCCATGCCTCATTTTGCTCAATTTGAAAAATGTTAGCTCTGTTTTAGCAAGGGCAGATTCAGTGAGAACAGCACCACTTACAGGCCTGGCATATGTACTACAGCGTCTCCAGCGCTTTCGAACGGCAATGGCCGTGGCTGTCTCCTCCTGATTGGTGGAGTTGGCCCAATAGCCGTAGGGCCACCGTCCTGACGTCAGGACAGTGTTCAAATCTGGATCAGTTTTTATCAGATCCGTTGCAGCCCCTTTTTTAGAGATTTGGGTATGGAGGAAAATAGAGAGGGTTGTGTTTTCTGACACTTGGTGAGTTCCCTGGAACACCGGGGACACATATTCATGTAGAAAAGACGTACAAAAGTGCATTTTGCATGATAGGTCCCCTTTAAATGGGGTTGTTGGTACATTTCCAAATCAAACTTATACGGTTTTAAAGTGAGAAAGTTGTCTGTGCATCGTCAATCATCACTTTTCAGTGTTGATCCCTAACTCTGCTTCTAAATGATGTTTCTTTAAGTTTCTGTAAACTCTTCAGTGGATTCTTTCTCCGTGCCTTGTTCTCCTCCTGCGTGTAAAGGCTAATAGCTCAGTGCCGAGGCTGTTGGGTTACTCAGATTGAATTGGACATACTAAAGCTCAAAGGCTTTTCCAGATGATTGCAGCGCACAGGCGTGATTTGGCAAATCCAGCAGAGATTTCCATGAGGACTTCTTTGAGCTCATAATGCCTCTGGCCACAGAATACATTTATTATGGAAGATTTTCTTTTTCCCAAGCAATCATTAAAAACAAGAGCTCACTTTCCAAATATTCAGATATAATGAAAGCGGAAGAGTTCAGTGAAGCATGTCGGCACGTCAGCGAACATCGAGGTGGTCTTCAGAGATTTGACTGTCCACTCCAACCTGTTAGAACAAACTGACACTGGTTGTGTTTGGTTTAGTTTCTAAGTGCCATACTTGCAGTGATGTCTTGTGCATTGTTTTATTACCTTGCTCTTTTACTCCTAGTTGTTTATTTCTTAATGGTCCCTGTTGGGGAAATATTTTCCAAGGTCCATAACTTTGACCCAGTTGATCAGTTCATTCTGTCCTGACTGAGCACACGCACCTGTAACCTGGGCTGCTGTGCTCTCAGTGTTCTGTCTCCCTGCTCCTGGCTGCTGGCGTCAGCTGATAGAGGTGTTATGATTCTATCTTGTTATGATCAATGCTGATTATTCTCTCAGAACTAGCTAAACACACGGGTCTGGGGGAGAGCTCTTCAGAATTGACGTGGCAACTCTACCGTGAAGTCAGAACCTCTGGCTCTTTGACTTGTTTTGTGAATTCTCCGGCCGAAGCTCCAAATAAACCCATCAGTGTTTGACATCAAAGCTCCAGCTCTCCTCGTGTCTCCTTTGAGTCGGTGACCCCCACTGCATTGCTACACAGAAGTTTCCCCCACAGTCCCCATTGCTTGTATTTATTAAGGGTGCATTTTGGGATAAACGTCTAACTTGCTTTCTGCCTTTTGTTGCTGTTGGGCATGCCAGATGGTTGCATTCATTACCCAAGAAACAGCAGGTTCATCAATGCAGATACAAACAGGATGTTATACAGGTTACTGGTGTCACTGGAAATTGAGGGTGTTACATTTTGTGTTGTTGGACTTAAGGCAGGATGACCTGAGAAAGTAAACAATCCAGTTTCAAAACAGGTCAAATAGACAAACAACGGGTTCATAATCAAGCAGTTTAAGGATGACTTCTGTACTTTTCAACTTGGACAATTTAAACTTTTTGCATCCAAGTGAGTAATGCAGACAAGACTGTTTTGATCTTTTTGAATGAAAGAAGTATCGACCAAGAACTATTGGGCAATTCTGCACCGTCAATGTAAGTTTTCTAGATCTCTTGGACATCTTTCCGGAAGACAGCAGTAGAAATATGAGTGAGATTCTGAGAGGGGGGTCCCTGAAAGAGTTTGTTTGAATAGTACTTGTTACCCCTAAAGTCAAAAGTCCATAGAAAAAAGTGTTTTGGGGAGTTTAGCCTCCAGTGATGTGTTTCTTTTTTCGTCTGAGCTTTTGCAGAACACTAAGTGGATAATGTTTGGCTCTAACTTAAAGTCTAAAATCAGAGAATGATGTCCAGCTGTCTTTTTTACCCCAAGGACAATGGCGGGTTGACTTGTTTTAAGAAATACAACCAAAACTATTGGTCTATTTCATTGTGAAAGCTTTCAAATATAAGAACTCAATTCAAAGAAAATGGTCATAACCTTTTTTTCTTTGTTGATTTGCACCACAGAGATGTGGGCAACTAGCCATATATCTGGAGCCAGAGCTAAGGACTAAATCAAGGTGGTATTTGTTAATAAAACCATGCCAGCTCTGCGATTTTACATCTAAAGTGTCCCTGTATGCTGATGACTCTCTCCTCCAGTGATCAGGGCAAATCAAAAGACTGACTAAATACGATACGATATACTTCATTGTCCCCGTAAGGACATTTGTTCTGGACTCCGTCCTGCATTTGCACATACATGAACATATACAAACATAATAAACATTAAAATACATACACATATCATCACCCATGCACCGTTTGAACAAACACAGACGCCCATACTGACAATGGCGACCTATTGCAAAACCCTCATGGCCAACATAAATGTTTTGTTCTTTAATAAAAAGCCTAAAACCTTGCAAGCTCTGCGATTTATGTCCAAAGTGTCCCTGTTTATGACTGTTTATGACTGTTTATGACTCTCTCTCTCTCTCTCTCTTCAGTGATCAGGGCGAGGGTGAGGGAGGTGAGGAACCGCGGCATGGAGCCCACAGCGGTGGTGGAGGTGAAGGAGGTGCTGAAGTCTTCTCTGGTCAACATCCCCAGAGAGGTCCAGACTCTGTACTACTCCTCGTCCTGCCTCTGCCCTCCTCTCACTCCCGGGGAGGAGTACCTCATCATGGGCTACGAGAACGAGGAGACCTCCAGGTACGAGTCCTTAAAGTTACATGTACCGTTGCTAATAGAGTGGTGCAGGGACGAGTCCTAACACCCGGAAGTGAGTCAGCATTTCACCACTTCCTGTTCCCTCGTCTCAGAGCCAATGGGATTTTTGAACATGTTTTTGGAAAATAGCAGGAAATAAGGTCTGTGGTTTTGAGACACATTGAAGAGACGGATCACGTTTTGTTCTACGACATTAAATCCATCAGCAGTGACCCCACTGGTGATTTCTGAAGAGTTTACGTGTCTGAAAAACGATGGTTGTTACCAAGTGGCTGAATAGGACTACAGAAGTCGTGGAGGACGTTGTACGTCGTCATTACGCCGAACACGTAAACACTCCTCTAAGTTTGTTTGCCCTGTTCTGCTTGAAAGCAAGTACCTGCCTCCTGCTAACTGTTCAAACAAACGCTTCAACTTGTTCCATTTAGAATCTGTATGTTTGAATATGGATCTTAAGTTGGCGTGACATTGAAGTCGTGCTGCTGAACGCGGCTGTAGTTCCTTTATAGCATAACGTTAGCATTTTGCTTCTGGCCATTAGAGTTATGATTAGAAAATGATAAAAGTAGGGTAGACATGTGGAGATTATCCTGAACAAAATGTGCATTTATCAAACAGCTTCGTTTTCCACAGACCTTATTTTTTACAATATTCCAAAATCCTATGGAGAAATCCCGTTGCTTTTTGTCGAGGGAACCAGCAGCTTCCTTCAGGGTCGGCCTACAAAAACACGTCATCCCTGCTCCGCTCTATAGATCGTCAATGGTGGTTGTTCAACAATAGAGTGATGCAGGAACTAATCCTAAAAGCTGAAAATGAGTCAGCATTTGAGCCCTCTAGGTGTCCTTGCATCTAAAGTCTGTGGTTTTCACAAGATGAGGATATTTGAACGTTTTGTGCTACGACATAAAATACACTGATTTCTTCAATAATCCATTGGCTTTTTGTTGAGGTAACCAGGGAAATGCTGCCTCTATGCCTTCTGATTCTGCCTACTAAAATATGTCATCAATGCAACATTTTGTGGAGCTGCAAAGTCCGGAATCATCAAAGTCTGCCTTTTTGAATTGTTTTGAATGAGAGACCCCATAGCAACAGAAATGACATACTTTAATTACCTAGCAAGCTTCAACTGGTCTGACAAACCAATTAATTAGAGGCTGCTTTTGTCTAATGCTGTCCAAAATTGAAGGACCCTTTGTTTCAGATATTACCAATAAGATCCTTGAACTTCAACTAGATATAAAAAGCTGCTTTGAGTAAAACATGTGTCCAATCAGGGGTTAGCAAACAAACCTGCCTGCTGTCTGATTTGAAGTCTAGTTGTCTAGTTTCCAAATGTTTTTACTCGTAAATTGTTGCGTCTATACTTGGTAAATGGTTATGATTTCTGTCTGACTTTAGCATGGGTTCTGTAGGATAAGACTGAATAAACCTCACTGTGTGTTTGTGGTTGCAGGTTGCTCCTGATTGACGGCTCCATTGCTCAAAGGTGGAAGGAAAAAATGGGCAGGAAGGTCAAGGTGCGATTCAAATACGCACACACACACACACACACTCACTCACACACACTCACACACACTCACACAGCAGCAGCAGTTTAGAGCAGCGTCTCCTGGTATTTTCTGTGTAAACACACCTGCAGTGGTACAGGTGGAGGCTTTATAAGTGGACACTGAACTGAACTGTATAACATGCAGTCTGTATCAACAGTTTAACATTTGATTGGATATTTGGGTATAAAGTCAACACCGACTGCTATATTATAAGTGGTCGGTTTAACACTACACTAACCACTTTGTTTCAGTCGCAATATTTGTACTTCTGGTGCAGTGCTGTAGTTAATTTATAGCCCAACATTAGCCGCCTTTAGCTTAGCGGTGGTGACGTGAAGTCATGTGATCGTACTGTAGTTCCTTTATAGCCCAACTTTAGCCACCTTTAGCTTAGCTGTGGTGACGTGAAGTCATGTGACCGTGCTGTAGTTCATTTATAGCCCAACATTAGCCGCCTTTAGCTTAGCGGTGGTGACGTGAAGTCATGTGATCGTACTGTAGTTCCTTTATAGCCCAACTTTAGCCACCTTTAGCTTAGCTGTGGTGACGTGAAGTCATGTGACCGTGCTGTAGTTCCTTTATAGCCCAACATTAGCCACCTTTAGCTTAGCGGTGGTGACGTGAAGTCATGTGACCGTGCTGTAGTTCCTTTATAGCCCAACATTAGCCACCTTTAGCTTAGCGGTAGTGACGTAAAGTCATGTGACCGTACTGTAGTTCCTTTATAGCCCAACATTAGCCACCTTTAGCTTAGCTGTGGTGACGTGAAGTCATGTGACCGTGCTGTAGTTCCTTTATAGCCCAACATTATCCACCTTTAGCTTAGCGGTGGTGACATGAAGTCATGTGACCGTGCTGTAGTTCCTTTATAGCCCAACATTAGCCACCTTTAGCTTAGCGGTGGTGACGTAAAGTCATGTGACCGTACTGTAGTTCCTTTATAGCCCAACATTAGCCACCTTTAGCTTAGCTGTGGTGACGTGAAGTCATGTGACCGTGCTGTAGTTCCTTTATAGCCCAACATTAGCCACCTTTAGCTTAGCGGTGGTGACGTGAAGTCATGTGACCGTGCAACCCAGTCTCACGGCATTTCGTGTTATTAGTCACGAAATTAATTTAATCTATTGATTCGTCTTCACCAACACGATTTTCACATTTTTTTCGTGTCACACAGAACGATTTTAAATGCAATGTATTTCTATTGGTAGTATGTTTCGTGCCTGCACCACGTCTTTTTGTCCGGTCGGGTCTTGGAAGACCAGAAGCTGTGTGGTTCATAAAAACATGTTCTTACTCAATATCTTACCCTAAGCCTAACCCTATCCCTTTTATTTTAAATTGTATAATGTCAGTTTTTTTGCCGTCAGTGAGGAAAAGAAATGGCTCAGAGCCTCAGAATACTGAAATCTGTATTTTATGTCATCTTTTTTTCCTTCTAATTTGTTATTATTTGGTGCAGGCACGAAACATACTACCAATATAAATACATTGCTTCTAAAATCGTTCTGTGTCAGAATACTTAAATCTGTATTTTTTTAAATGTCTTTTTCCTTCTAATTTGTTATTATTTACATTGCTTTTAAAATCGGTCTGTGTGACACGAAAAAAATGGCGAAATCGTGTTGGTGAACACGAATCAATAGATTAATTTCGTGACTATAACACGAAATGCCGTGAGACTGTGTTGGACCGTGCTGTAGTTCCTTTATAGCCCAACATTAGCCTCCTTTAGCTTAGCGGTGGTGACGTGAAGTCATGTGACCGTGCTGTAGTTCCTTTATAGCCCAACTTTAGCCACCTTTAGCTTAGTGGTGGTGACGTAAAGTCATGTGACCGTGCTGTAGTTCCTTTATAGCCCAACATTAGCCACCTTTAGCTTAACGGTGGTGACGTGAAGTCATGTGACCGTGCTGTAGTTCCTTTATAGCCCAACATTAGCCACCTTTAGCTTAACGGTGGTGACGTGAAGTCATGTGACCGTGCTGTAGTTCCTTTATAGCCCAACATTAGCCACCTTTAGCTTAGCGGTGGTGACGTGAAGTCATGTGACCGTGCTGTAGTTCCTTTATAGCCCAACATTAGCCACCTTTAGCTTAACGGTGGTGACGTGAAGTCAGGTGACCGTGCTGTAGTTCCTTTATAGCCCAACTTTAGCCACCTTTAGCTTAACGGTGGTGACGTGAAGTCATGTGACCGTGCTGTAGTTCCTTTATAGCCCAACATTAGCCACCTTTAGCTTAGCGGTGGTGAGGTGAAGTCATGTGATCGTGCTGTAGTTCCTTTATAGCCCAACATTAGCCACCTTTAGTTTAGCGGTGGTGACATAAAGTCATGTGATCGTGCTGTCTGATGTGACGTTAGTTATTGTGCACTGATTCATTAATGTCCCTTTCCGTCTCTCTTTTTGTGTTTCTGTGCAGAGATGGGATAAGATCATGCAGGGGAGAGGCCGAGGAGCTCAGCGCCAGGGTCGCCACTGAGATCTGAGTGTGTGTGTGTGTGTGTGTGTGTGTGTGTGTGTGTGTGTGTGTGTGTGTGTGTGTGTGTGTGTGTGTGTGTGTGTGTGTGCGTGTGTGTGTATGTTTGATCATGTATGTGTATGTGTGTGTAGATATTGCACTATCCCAGGCTGTTGTAGCTGAATGTAGTTCATCTCTGCATCTATCAGACAGTTTGGAGTCTTAAGTTTTGTCATTTATCATTTTTTTTGCACAAACATTATTCAGCGTGTGTTTTTTTGATCGTATGCTAAATGTATGTGTGAATTTGTGTGTGAATGTGTGAGTGTGTACACTTAAAGCACTCAATAAAGACAAGAGAGGGGGTGAAGCTTTAAGCTGTAGTACTAACCCTACGCACAGCCATACAGTATGTACATGACACTTTTTTGGTAAACAATAATAATTCAGTGGTGGCTCTCCATGGTCACAGTCCATAATAACCCTGATTTGTACCATGTTGCCATGCTGATGGGAAGGCGGACATTTAAAGCCATTTGGACATGTTGGACTATAAGAGAGAGACCATAACTTTACTGATCTCTGGCATGAAATCGTTGGCAATCATTGAGTAAATATGCAAACCTAGCACTTTTTTAAACATTTACAAGGCTTGTCTTTGCTCTAGCGTCACAGGAACTCCATCTTCTTCTTCACTAAAATGTAAACAAATAGTAGCACACACCAAATGCATAATAGGCTACTAGCAGAAGATAAAGGAGGTAGGAGAGGTGGGATGATTGCATAAATACAGACGGTACGAATGAGCTCTGTAACAAACAACAAGGATTCATATTCAAATGTTTTTTATATAACAGTTCCTGCTGTCAACAGTCAGTGCTCTACTTTTATCAGTATACTATACTAACACTCTGGACTCTTTGCAGAAGTTTGAACCATTAAAATGAATTTATACCACATGCTCTGTTTCTGTGTTGTTCTTATCTTTAAGATCTCAGTTCACCGTAAATGTTCCTGTAAACTTCCCCAAGTTTTTCAGTTTGTGATCCGCAAGTTTTTAAGTTTTTGATCCCCAATCTCGTTTTTGATCCTCAAGTTTCTCAGTTTTTGATCCTCAAGTTTCTCAGTTTTTGATCCTCAAGTTTCGCAGTTTTGATCCCCAAGTTTCCCAGTTTGTAAACCCCAAGTTTCTCAGTTTGTAAACCCCAAGTTTCTCAGTTTTTGATCCTCAAGTTTCTCCGTTTTTGATCCCCAAGTTTCTCAGTTTTTGATCCCCAAGTTTCTCAGTTTTTGATCCCCAAGTTTCTCAGTTTTTGATCCCTAAGTTTCTCCGTTTTGATTCTAAAGTTTCTCAGTTTCTGATCCCAAAGTTTCGCAGTTTTGATCCCCAAGTTTCTCAGTTTTTGATCCAAGTTTCTCCGTTTTTGATCTTGAGGTTTCTCCATTTTTGATCTCCAAGTTTCTCAGTTTTTGATCCTCAAGTTTCTCCGTTTTGATTCTAAAGTTTCTCAGTTTCTGATCCCAAAGTTTCCTAGTTTTTGATCCTCAAGTTTCTCTGTTTTTGAACCCCAATTTTTGATCATCAAGTTTCTCCGTTTTCCCTCCCCAAGTTTTTAAGTTTTTGATCCCCAAGTTTCTTAGTTTTTGATCGTCAAGTTTCTCCATTTTCAATCGTCAAGTTTCTCCATTTTCGATCGTCAAGTTTCTCCGTTTTTGACCATAACATTTCTACGTTTTTGATCCTCAAGGGAGAGTTTTGTGTTTTTCTTGTATTTGTTTACCTTAAAATACTTTGTTAATCTTGACCTGGTTCTGGTGTCTTGCATTTGGGTCCTTAGCTTTGTGTCAATCGTAACAAAACTGCAGCCATGGAAACCTGTAAACCCTCTTGATAATAAACTGAATTGTCTTTTCAGATGTGTCAATGATATTCCTACATGACTCTAATATATTAGCATGCTATTTTATAATTTTGTTTTATAAGCTCTGGGAAACTTAACCCTGGTTGTAAGTAATAATGTCCACTTATGTGGTGCATCCCATTTAATTTAAGTGATAAATAAACAATAATTTGAGGTATAAAAACATATAAAATCCACATTTAGGAGATTATTTTGCTAAATTTGAATTTATTATGCCCTGGGGAAACATACGGTACATAATGGTTTACATGTATTCTTCATAATAACCCGTAAAAAATATGGGACAAAACTGGATATAAAATGAGTCTAAATTTAGGCTGAAATAAATCTTAATAACACGGGTTGAGTAACTGAAAAAACAACCTTCACTGATGGGAGTAAACAGCAGCATTACTGTGTGTGTGTGTGTGTGTGTGTGTGTGTGTGTGTGTGTGTGTGTGTGTGTGTGTGTGTGTGTGTGTGTGTGTGTGTGTGTAGGCATGTTTCCAGTAGTTCCTGCCTACTAATTTGCAGCAGTGTTTTCTCAGCTGCAGTTTCCATGAGAGAGAAGAGAAAAATGTTTTTGTGGATTTACTGCTATTACACCTCCTTATCCTCCTCCTCCTCCTCTCTCCTCCTCTTCTCTCCTGCATGTTGACTGACTGAAAACACACCTGGTGTTGGTAAAAGGTGTGTGTGTTCATGCAGTCTCTATAGTGGATCTATTCATGTTGCTGAATGCTGACACAGCACATACTGAAACACACAGAATAGGACTGAGCTGCGTTAAAGCTGCAGGGAGTCCTGATTCAACACTAGAGGGCGGAAAGGAGGCAGAAAACACGCATTGACACGAAATTAAGAAGCAGAGAACGCCAGTCCAATACTTTACTTTAGCTCAGTGTTCTGTGGTGTTTTTAGCTCAGATTTTGCCTCATTTTCATCTTATTTACAGCCCTTGTTTGATCCAACGTTGTGTATGGCTGTAGCCCTTGTTTGGTTCAGGCCTCATTGGTGTTTAGTTGTGTTTTAATCCAATTCTCTGGTGGTGTTTCGTGTTTCTTTTTAGCGCTGCTTAAGTCTAACAATCTGCAGTGTTGTCCAGTATTCATTGGTGTTGATCTCTGGTTCTATACTATAATTGGGGGCCTTATATTCTGTGGTAATTTAGCCCTGGTTTGGTCAGTTAGTTAATGGTGTTTCAGCCCTGTTTTTGCATTGGTTTAGTATAGTATTCACTGGTGTTTTAGCCCTGATTAGATCCAATGTTTTGTGGTGATTTAGCCCTTTTGGGGTCCAATACTCTATGGTGTTTAAGCCCTGGTTCGGTCCAAAAAAATGTGGTATGTCTGATTTGGTCCATTTCTTTTAATGGTGTTTTAGCCCTGGTTTGGTCCAATATTTGGTGGAGCTTTAGCACTGGGTTTTGTTGGCATATTATCCCTGTTTGGTCCATTATGCTGCTTTGTTCTAGCCCTGGTTTGCCCAGTACACATTGGTTTGGTGACCAAATATTCTCTGGAGGTTTAGCCCTGGTTCGGTCAGATATTCTGTTGTTTTGTCAAATATTGAGTATTTTGCCATGGTTTGGTCCATTACTTAGTGCATCTAGGGTCCATTTCCAACTTTGGTCAATTGTTGTTCTATGTACAAAGTGTTTAGAAAAACAAAAACGTGGTTGTTGTTGATCGGCCGTGTGAAACTTCACATCTGTTGATCGGAGAAACAGAAAACCCTTGTTATCCAACACAAACACGCACAAGCAGAGCTACACACACACACACACACACACACACACACACACACACACACACACACACACACACACACACACACACACACACACACACACACACACACACACACACACACACACACACACACACACACACACACACACACTCAGTAACACCAGGTTGGTTCCCACAATACCTTGGCCAGTGTTTGTCCAACTCGCTCCATTTCACATCATGAAACAATAGAGCCTAACACACAGTAAGTGGTTCCAGTGGTTCCAGTGGTTTCAGTGGTTTATGGAGCAATGCTGCGTCAATGCTGACCTCCAGCTGCCCACAAAACACAGGGAGAGAAGGAGGAAGGAGGGAAGGAGGAGGGAGGGTGAGGAAGGGAGGGAGGGATATACAGAAATGTCCTGATCCTATAATACTCAGAAGTGGAAAGTACATGAAGGTCATTCAGATAATTACAGTACGGGGGAACATTTTTTAAGATGTGGTGTTTTAGCAGAATATTTCCACTGTAGGTTTGTTTTCTCCTGGTTCAGTGGTTTAGCCCCAGTTTGGGTGGTTTCCAACAGTGTTTCAGCCCTCTTTTGATACAATACTTACTGGTGTTTTAGCCTTGGGTTGGTCTTCTGTCCTGTTGGTGTTTTAGCGCTGGTACAGTCCACCATTTCTAGTGATTTGTGTAGTTTTCATTGGTGGTTTGGTCCAATATTTATTGCAGTTTTAAGTCATAGTTTGGTCCAATATTTGACAATCTTAAAGCCCCGGTTTGATGGCTGTAATTGTCCTAGTTTGGTCCAGTACTCAAGTCAGGTTTTAACCCTGGTTGCATCCAGTATTTGTTGTGTTTCTGCCCTGAGTGCTCTTAGATTCTCGTGTGTTGCAGTCACTGTTTTGTTCAACATGTTCTTGTGTTTCTGTACCAGTTTGGTCTAATTTTGACTTGTTCTTTAGCCCTGGTTTTGGTCTAATATTGACTTGTTGTTTAGCCCTGGTTTTGGTCTAATATTGACTTGTTGTTTAGCCCTGGTTTTGGTCTAATATTGACTTGTTCTTTGGCCCTGGTTTTGGTCTAATATTGACTTGTTCTTTAGCCCTGGTTTTGGTCTAATATTGCCCGGTGTTTTCGCCCTGGTTTGGTTATAGATTCTATGGTATTTTATCCTTGTTTTGGTCAAGTACTCATTGGGGTTTTTGCCCTGGTTTGGTTTATTATTTATATATATCCTTATCATGATGAATAGTAATAATCGGGTGATCATTCAACTTTTCGAGTACTATTATCATTTAAAATCATTCTAAAAATAACATTGACAAGCTTAGTCTAGCTACCTCTTTATTTCCAACACATTTTCCAGTTTCTCATGTTCTAGCCCTGGTTTGGTCCAATATCTGTTGATCTTTAACCCCCGGTTTGGCGTGTTGTAGGCCTAGTTTTGTGTAGCACTATCTGGTTGTGGTCTTAAATTCTCTGAAGTTGTTGTCACTGTTTTGTCCAACATGTTCTTGTGTTTTTGCATTTCACTGCAGACTGAGGCCAACATTCAGCCACCAGTTAAGAGTCTTCTCCCTCACATACACAGAGATCGTGCTCCAAAACAAAAACATATATATATTGTAACCGGACTGGGCAGATGAAGAGGAAAGTGGTAGTGCAGCAATCACGACAGAGGCAGTGTTCAAATCCAAAAAAGGCTTTATTGCTATCAAACTCAAAAATACCTTCCAAAGAACAAAGGCTAACGTAGCCGGGCCGCTAACCGACTTAGCAACACGTTTCCTTACACTGGGAGCCTCCTGCTCCCTCCATGTGCCTCACACAACTGAGCAACTCTGGGTGCTTTGTCTCCCTTGAGGGAGTGAATAGCACCAGGTGTGTGGGTCTCCACACCTGCTCCCAATACTGCTAATTGGGAGAGGGTGGCGCCACCTGTTGGGAATGTAGGCGCCTCCCACTACCCTGCGTCTCAGCCCCTTACAATATGTATATATATACTTTCCTCCAAATACAGAAAGTCAAACTCCCTGTTCTTTCCCTTAATCTCATCAAAAGCCTGGACCATAGTGCCTTATGACTTCAGTGTCACACTCGTCTGTGTTGGATGTGTGTGTTACATGTTGTGATCATGGAGCCCTGGTTTCTGTTGTGTGATTGTGACGTGCTATATGTGACATGTACGTAGTAACGTGTGTTGTTTGCATTGTATTGTTCTCTTTGGTCCTTTCGCCTCTATCTACTTGTCTTTCATCCTTTCTTTCTAACTAATGCTGTTGATGTGTTGATTTCAAAAAGCTGTCTATTATCATCTGGCC